CTCAGTGTGTAATTTTCCCCCTCCCAGGTCTATGTAGAAAGAGGCCAGAAGGTTGCATCCATTGCTATGGAAGCAATCCTCTCCAGGAGTCAGCAAAAGCTCCTAGAAACCACAGCATCTCCCCTGTGCCTTTCACCATGCTGTTTGGGAGGTGAAAACATTCAGCCTTTTCATGTTTGGATTAAGTAAGGAAAGCTGCAGGGGCCACGTACATCCTGAAGACACTGGCTTCAACAGGGTAAAATAATGACTTACTGTCAGCCACGTTTAGCCAGCCTCTTGAATAGGAGTGCAGGAAAAGCGGGGAGAGCTTTGGGTCCCCTGAGGAGGGTGATGTGTTAATAACAGCCGCAGGCCAACAACAGAGGAACACATAGAGAAGATGTGGCACTTATACACAGGGGAACACTACTCGGCCATTAAAAGTGCTCGCTTTGGCAGCACATATACTAAAATTGAAATGTTATAGAGAAGACTAGCATGGCCCCTGAGCAAGGATGACAGGCAAATTCATGAAGCTTTCCATATTTGGGGGGCTTCCCTGGTGGCTCAGATGGTGAAGAACCCATCTGCAATGCAGGATATCTGGGTTCGATCCCTGGGTCAAGAAGATCCCCTAGTGAAGAGAAGGACTACCCACTCCAATATTCTTGCTGGAAAATTCCATGGATAGAGGAGTCTGGTGGGCTACATCCCAGGGGGCTGCATAAAAAGGAAGGAAATTAGGTCATCTGTAGAGACTTGAATGGAACGAGAGACTGTCATACAGAGTGAAGTAAGAAAGAGAAAAACAAGTATCATGTATTATCGCTTATATTGGAATATAGAAAAATGGTACAGGTGAACTTATTCCCAGAGCAGGAATAGAGATACAGATGTAGAGAACAGACATGTGTATATGGAATGGGAGGGGGGGCTGGGGGAAAGAGAGAGTGGGATGAATTGTGAGATTAGGTTTGACATATATACACTGCCATGTATAAAACAGATAACTAGTGGGAAGCAACTGTAAGCACAGGGCGCTCAGCTAAATGCCCTGTGATGACCTAGAGGGGTGGGATGGGGGGAGGGAGGCCCAGGAGGGAGTGGATATATATGTACATAGAGCCAACCCATTTCGCTGTACAACAGAAACTTACACAACATTGTAAAGCAATTATACTCCAATTTTAAAAAGCTACGTATGTATAGAATTTATTATGTGCCAGGCACTATCCTAAGGATGCTACATACATATTAGCTCAGTTAATCTAAGCCATAACCCTATGACAGAAGGACCTTTCAAACCCCATTTTCCAGATAAATAAACTGATGAATAGAGAGGTCAAATACCTTGCCCAGGTCAGCCAGTGGATGAGTGACAGTGCTGGAATTCATGTCCTACCCCTCCAGAGCCAACCACACCTTTTCCTCCACCCCCTGCCACCCCAGCTTGAAATGTGGGTAATGGCTTCACAGGAACTGGGGGTATTGCCGCCCCTTCACCCCTTCTCAGATCCAGTAGCCCAGCCACAACTCTGACATTAGTCCCCTCCTTTCCCGTGGCTACAGAAGATCTCTAATCCCCTGGTCTCTTTGCGATTCCAGAAGTGGGGCTGTGGTCCCACTTCTGGGGAAAACCTCCATCCTCATCTGGAGGGAAAGAAAAGAACTCTCTAGTTTTAGTAATAAATCATACACATGACTTGTTCACTCCTCATTTCAAGTGCTCTGTTGAAATAGCACCTCCTCCTAGAAGCCTTCCCTGATTCCTTATCAGTTAAGCACAAACACATTACTCTTTAGTCCCTGGTTTATTTTACTTCCAACACCTATTACCAGTTGAACTTACATGGTCTATTTATTTGTTTAATGAGATACCTGGTTGTTATCTGTCTCTATTACTGGAATATCACATTTACAATGTTAATTTCTACTCTACAGAAAAAGTGACTCATGGGTATACATATATATACATTCTTATACATATATATACACACACACACATTCTTTTTCCTATTCTTTTCTATTATGGCTTATCACAGAATATTGAATATGCTTTCCTGTGCTACACAGTAGGACCTTGTTGTTCATCCATTCTTTACATAATAGCTCATATCTGCTAACCTCAACCTCCCACTCCATCCCTCTCCCAACTCCCTTCCCCTTGGCAACCACAGGTCTGTTCTTTCTGTCTATGAGTCTGTTTCTGTTTCACAGATAAGTTCATTTGTGTCATATTTTAGATTCCACATACAAGTGATAACACATGGTATTTGTCTTTCTCTTTCTGGCTTACTTTGCTCAGTATGACAACGTCTAGGTCCATCATTGTTGCTGCAAATGGCATTATTTCATTCTTTTATTCCATTGTGTGTGTGTGTGTGTGTGTGTGTGTGTGTGTGTGTATGCCATGTCTTCTTTATTTAATTTATTCATAAATTCCATGATAGGAGAGACTTGGTCTTTCACCAATGGAGTTTTGGCTCCTAAACAATTGTCTGGTAACAAAAGGGGGCCCCTCAGATATTTTTTTTTTAATTCAGTCATTGCAAGGTGAATACAGTTATTACTGACTGACTTCCCAGCCTCACCTCTGCTAGGACTACTTTCCTCCATGGAAGCATGAGTCCTCATCCTTCTTACCTCATTTTCTCCTTTCACTTCTACAAGGTCTAATACCACAAGTTTTGTTTTTTTGTTTTTTGGAGTTCCTGCTATGTTATGTTCCTCCTCACCCTGTGAGTCTGTGCTGGGTTCCCCTGGCTGCCTTCTTTATCTGTAAGGAGAAATGCACATATCTACCTTCTGGGGTACGGACTGTCACTGAGAGAGTCTGCACATTGCGGGGCAACTGACTCCCAGCCCATGGCAGGTTTCCCTCCCCCTTCCCCGCAGAAGGGAGCTCTGCTATCCCAGCACTACCATGTGTGGTGGGGAACTTTGTCTTATGAAGTTCTGTCCAGTTTATGGCAGAGTTTGTCTAACGGGTAGTGGAAAGATTGGGAGATTGCAAATGACTGCGAACCCTGAGGGAAAGGAAATCTTCTGACCTCGGTGAGAATTAAAACAGCCCCATGTAGGATGTGCCCGGAGGCTCCACCTTGCGTGGTGAATGAAAGGCAACTTCCCTGAACAGGAGAGGACACTCCGTTCCCCCATCACCCCACAGCCAACTTCAGATACAGCTCAGGGTTAACCATCTTCTCCATTCCTTCACCCCAAACAAAATCATGGAGGCAAAACAGGGTAAGAAAGATCAGCCAACTGGACCCTGGCAGCAAAGCAAATCCGGTGAAAAATCCTCAAATGAAGGAGTATGCATTTCAAATTGTCTTTGTTTTTCTAATTCAGGACTCCCCTCCAACAAACTTTGTTCTAAAATGGAAAAACAGCCGGGCATTATCTTTGTGTAAATACTAGAATAAAAAAGATATTCCCTAGAAGAAAGGAATCCTAGGAGAGGAATCTATCTTGAAAACATTTCTTTAAGAATAATCAGTGAGGGGCTTCCTCCTGGCTCAGTGGTAAGGAATCCCCCTGCCACGCAGCAGACACTGGTTCTATTCCTGGTCTGGGAAGATCCCACAAACCCAGAGCAACTAAGACCATACGCCACAACTACTGAGCCTGCGCGCTAGAGCTCTGGAGCCACAACTACTAAAGCCTACACACATTAGAGCCCATGTTCTGCAACAAGAGAAGCCACTGTAAATACAAGGCTGAGTTCCTCAAATGGAGAGGAGTCCCTCCTTGCCCCCACCCCCTCTCCTCAACTAGAGAAAAGCCCGCACAGCAACAAAGACCCAGCATAGCAAAAAATAAATAAATAAATAAAAATTTAAAGGGAACCTGTAAAAAAAAGAAAAGAAGAGTCAGTGGTGACTTCCCTGGTGGTCCAGTGGTTAAGACAATGCAGGGAGTGCTGATTCTATCCCTGGTTGGGGAGCTAACATTCCCACATGCTTTGCAGCCAAAAAACCAAAAATGTAAAACAGAAGCAATCAATATTGTAACAAATTCAATTAAAGCTTTAAAAATGGTCCACATTAGAAAAAAAAAAAAGCTTGTCAACATGTGAACTTCAGAAATCACAGTAAATATTTAATACATAATCTGAACAATTATCTATAACACATGCTTTTACCAGGTTAGGTGAATCACTGAACATTGTATGTCAATAAAAAGCTACTGGGGGTTCCCTGGTAGCTCACCTAGTAAAGAATCTGCCTGCAATGCAGGCGACCCCAGTTCGATTCCTGGGTCGGGTAGATCCCCTGAAGAGGGATAGGCTACCCACTCCAGTAATCTTGGGCTTCCCTGGTGACTCTCTGGCAAAGAATCCGCTTGCAATGCAGGAGACCTGGGTTCAGTCCCTGAGTTGGGAAGATCCCCTGGAGGAGAGCATGGCAACTCACTCTAGTATTCTTGCCTGGAGAATCCCCATGGACAGAGGAGCCTGGCGGGCTGCAGTCCATGGGGTTGCAAAGAGTTGGACATGACTGACTAAGCACAGCACAGAAAGCTATGGAAATTCAATGTTTATTTCTATCTGAAATGTTTTAGGGTAGAATGAATTAATTTATTTGCTCAGATAATCACTTCAAATCCTTATTGTATACTTGAAGAAAATAGTTTACTCAGTTATCTATATACCTTTTTAAAATTTTGTATTGGAGTTGATTTATAATGTTTTAGGTATAGTGCAAAGTAATTCAGTTAACATACATATTTTTTTCATTTTTCAGATTATTTTACATTATACGTTATTACAAGACTCAGTTAACTTGACTCTTTTTTGGTTGTGCAGCCTATGTGGTAGGCGGGATCTTAGTTCCCTGAACAGGTATCAAACCTGTGCCCCCTGCATTGGGAGCATAGAGTCCTAACCACTGGACCACCAAGGAAGTTCCCAGTTATCTATATTTTTAAAAATATTCTAGTGTCAGGGGCCGGGCCCGGGGAGAAAGGCGGCCGCCGCTTTGCGGCACCCGCTCCTCTCCGCAATATCCGCTGGTCGGCCGCGCGCGGAGGTGCTTCTTACAGAAAGCCTAGTCATTGCTGATTCCTAGGGGTTGCAGGAGACAGCTGCACTTCTGTTTCAACGAAACTTGAAAACAAAGGCGGAAAACAACATGGAGTGCAATAGTGTGGTTGATGGAAACGTCGAAGAAGTTCCCAGTAAGAAGGTTGCAGACTTGGGGTGTGGTGATGTTTGCCTCTTAGCCATCTTAAAATACCAAAAATGCATTGAAGAGCTTGTTGGAGTAGATATCAATGAGGGGAGACTTAAGTGGAGTGGGTCAAGGCTGTCCCCATGTGTAGGGGATCATCTGGATCCCCGAGAGCTGGATTTAGCGATTACCTTGTATCATGGTTCTGTTTTAGAGAAAGATTGTCGATTGCTCGGATTTGACTTGGCAGCATGTATTGAATTAATAGAACATTTTGATTCAGAAGATCTGGCGAAGTTTCCTGAAGTTGTCTTTGGGTACATGTCTCCAGCCATGATTGTCATCAGCACACCAAACTCTGAATTCAATTCCCTGTTTCCTTGTGCAGTCTTTAGAGATTCAGATCACAAATTTGAGTGGAGCAGAATGCAGTTTCAGACCTGGGCTTTAGATGTGGCCAGTCGCTACAGTTACTCAGTGGAGTTTACTGGTGTGGGGGAACCACCCACAGGAGCTGAGGATGTTGGCTATTGTACCCAGATAGGAATCTTCCGGAAAAAAGCAGAAGCAGCTGGATTGGCTGATTTGGAGCATCATGGTGAGCATGTTTATGAAGTTGTGAGTGTTCTTTGTTCTCAGAGCAAGTTCACTTACTGGGATGGTGAATGAGTCCCCACTCATCTGAATGACATTCTTTTGAGGAAAATCCCATGCCCCATGATCTCTCAAAGCATGTTACAGAGATGATCTGCTGGTGTCTTGGAAATACTTCTCCAGCAACTGTGCACCGCCCACCCCCCCCCCCCCCCCAACTTTGTAATCTGTTAGGAAAGAGGAAAAACAGCAGTAGTTTCTGTGTAGCTTGATTCAGGACACGACTTGAAATTGAGTCTTGAAGCTTGTCAGACCCATTTTGTTTGAGGAGGTGTGCATGGTAAAGAATATGTTGAAGAATATCTATATGCCAGGAATTTTTGACCCTCATAATTGGGACATTCACAGTAGGTTTATACAACCTCATACCCAAGTTTACAGCAGATAAATTACCGTAGACGTGTGGTGATTTATCTAGTGTACCAAGAAGTGAGCAGATTGAGACAGAAATACCAAGTGGGTTTGAGACAGCATGAATTGGAGCCTGAGCTCGTAGCCCCTGGCAACCGGACAGGAAAATTCACCTCAGACCTTCCAGTTCCAGTACTCACTGAAGATGACAAAGCCATGGAGATGGCTCCCCAACCTTTCTGTATTGAAGATGAGTTTTACGTACCCCTGCAAAGAATCATTGCTTATCCCAGGCTGGGGCACTTATGAGATAATGTAGAGAAGCTGAGAGAGTTCCTTGGTGACGTGATTGAACTGAACTGTGATGGTTCTGCGGTGAAGGTTGACTTGAACGATTGTAGTGACTTTTGAGCCATCCTTACTTCCTGAAATTCAGGATCTTTGCAATAATTGGGCTCATTTAGAATTTAAACGTTGTGCAGTCATAATTGAGGTAGCTTTTCATTTTAAAATCACCTAACTTTCATGGTTTTTGGTGTGTGTGTGTTGACTGTTGATATTAAAGAGTTTTAAAGAAAAAAAAATATTCTAAGGTCATTTAAGACATTTGTGATGTGTTGTCTTACAAATTTCCTTTCCTTTGTCCACAAAATTCCTTTTTTCTCCCTAATAAACTTTTCATCACCAGCAACAATTTTTACCGAATGCCTCTCTGCACGTAGCAAAACACTAAACACTTTCATCTTGAATGACAACTACATAAGTCAACATGCTGTGGAACCTTCAAATTGTCATAAAAATCCCTTTCTCCAATGGGTTCTCTTGTTTTGTGTCTCAAGATATTTTTTCTTGATTCATCACCTGCCTTTGAAACACCAGATTTTCCCCAAAGCTTTAGCATGCTTCCAGTCTGTAATCTTTTTTTTTTTCATTTCCACAGCTTTTTAAACAATGCAATAGGGACCACGTTAAGAAATATTTAAATTGTCAACACTCTTTAAATTTTTATATCTTCAAAATGGAGTCCATATTAAGTAATCATCAAATCCAAAATATAGAAGTCTTATTTGCTTCTTTGAAATATCAACATTCCTTGAAAATATTTTTGTCTCAAGATCTCATACAACTGGAAATTATTTAGATATAGCAATAATTTTCACCTATTCTTCTAAATTTTTCTAAGTCTAGGCATAGATTTTATGTCTAGACAAAACAGAATAATCCTCTATTCAACTCCAGATTTTTTTTTTCCCCCACGCTGGACATCGTTTGCCAGCAAGCTGTGAGAAGGGAAAGGTTGCAAACTCAAGTTATCCTGAGGGTTTCAATCCAACTTTCATTTGCAACTAATTGGTGCAGAAATTAGGCATCTGATTTTCCCACCATGCTCATTTCTAGCCAATATCCTACACCAGCTACTCAGTGCTGATGTAGGTAAGTGTGTTATGAGTTTTGTAAACCCCGAGTTGAGGAGAATGTGTATAAATATGAATAACTGCATGACCACATTTTAGATGGGACCTCTTTAAAACTCAGATCAGGAAGCTTATAAAACTATGATGATAACTGACCAATCCTTTTGAAAATAAAATAGTTTCAAACATTGAGGAAAGGAGCGTATTTTCTATGAGGAAAAATAAAAACTAAGGAAGACGAAATAAACAAAATTAAAGATTCTTGCTTGCTCTTTTTAAAACAAATTTTATTTTGTCCTTTTGTACTACTTGAGTTTCTCTTTTATCATGTGCCTGCGCTTTTCCAAGTAAAAAAGAATCAAAACTTTTTTAATTGACCATTTATCCGGGTTAGTAAAACAGAGCACTGGTGTCAAAATGGTCCAGGAGAGGCACTACTGGTGCAAACAAGGCCAGCCCCCTCTTGATCGAGAGACCTAAATATTTTGTTGGAAACCTCCCCTGGGACAACTGTCTTGCTCCCTCCTGATATCCCAGGCACCCCACCTATTGCATGCCTCAATCTCTAGTCCAGATATCCTTCTTGTTGTCAGCTGTGAGCAAATCCCCTTTAAGAGGTTCAATCTTTAAAGTACATAAATGTATGTTTCAAGCAATGGTGAACTCCAGAGCCCTCTTCAAGTGACTGTAACAAGGAATGCCCCCCTCAAGGCATCATTTCAGACCCCTCCTTTGTCTCCTAGTATGTAAATCAGAGGCAAGGCAAAGACAGCGAGTGAACTTCTGTGTGTGTCAAAATGTTACAGGGATGGTAGAGTTTCTCAATGATGACGGACTCTTCATTTAATCTGGCTAGGAGTTCGGGCTACCAAAAACAAAAATAAAGAAAGAATGGAGCTAAGATCTCATCTTAGAGGATGCTTGTGTAGAATGCAGGCACATAAACAAACCATTGCAATTTCCTGTGATAAATGGCTAAAATAGATGCCACGGAATCCCCTAAAGAGACAATGCCCATGAAGAATTTTAAACAAGAAAACTGTGTAGTCATAAATACCTCTCTGGCAGCACCATGGAAGGCTAGAAACCAGGAAACCAGAGGGAATGCTCTGACACAGCCCAGACCCCAGCAGATGAGGGCAGGAGGTAACAGAGGGGCAGGGAAAGTAAGCAGACAGGGGCCCAGTCCTTCCTGCAGTAAGTTACATCAATAACAGGTCAGATAATGTTCACCCTCCATGGAGAAAGAGAGAATGTGTGCCACCCTCTGGTGGCTGACTCCTCAAATAGAAGAATTCCTATTGTTATAGACACACACACACAGTTAATCCCCTACATACAACTGAGTTCCATTCTGAGAGCATGTTCGTAAGTCCAATTTGTCTATAAGTCCAATAAAGTTAGCCTCTGTACCTGACTAACACAATTGACTATATACCACTGCTTTTATGCTTGCTTCCCAACATCCGGGGCTTGAAATAAAGATACTGCACTACTGTACTCTATCACTGCTGTATGGTAAAGTACACAAAATCACAACTATTTGTAGAGGATGGATGCACGTGACAATGTACACCAGACATGTGCACTAACTTACATGACTGGACATAGGAACTCATGTTCACATCTTCGAAACTTGAAGGTTTGTAAGTGGGGGATTTTACTGTATTTGTGTGTTGCTTTTGAGAGGAAGGGGGCAGCGCAGCATGTGGGATCTTAGTTCTCTGGCCAGGGATCGAACCTGCAACCCTGCAGTAGAGATACAGAGTCTTAACTAGTGGACTTCCAGAGAAGTCCCTGCATTTGTGTATTGTTTACCATCACTCTGAAAGATGACTTTGCTGAAGATACTGTTAATCTTCAAGTGTGTAATTGGAAAACGTGAAAAAAAAAAAGTATTAACACAGCCTTAGATCTGAAGTCTGTGTTCTTGTCTGTGGTCTTAAACAATACAGCATTCATTTAAAAACACCATTGTCTGGGGACATACCTAGCAGTACAATGGCTGAGACTCTGCTTCCAATGTAGGGCACATGGGTTCAATCCCTGGTCAGGGGACTAAGATCCTGTATGCCATATGGCACAGACAAATTTTTTAAATTAAATTAAAGATAAAAGATACTCCAAAACTGAGTGACTTGAAACAATCATTTATTATTAAAAATTGTGTGTGTGTATGTGTTGCTCAGTTGTGTCTGATTCTTTGCAACCCCATGGACTATAGCCCCCCAGGCTCCTCTGTCCCTGGAATTTTCCAGGCAAGAATACTGGAGTGGATTGCCATTCCCTTCTCCAGGGGATCTTCCCGACCCAGAGACTGAACTCAGATCTCCCGCATTTCAGGTAGATTCTTTACCATTTGAGCCACCAGGGAAGCCCTATTAGAAATTAAATCACATTAGAATAAAATAAATAAAACCACCAGGGACTGGTTGTAACATGTGGTTTTCCCTGCTGCCCTTCAGGCTTACTAAGGCACCAGAATGTATTGAGAGTGACTCAGAATCAGGGTTTCTTAGATCTACTTCTTGCTCTGCTTCTAACAAGACGTGAGATGGTGAACTGATTGGTTATCCCTTCTACACCTGGTTTCCCATCATGAAATTACTCTAGGCTTCCTCCCAGGTCTAATGAGCTGTGGGTCATGCCATGCATTTCTCCTTTGCCTGATGGAAATGGACCCTTTCAGTAAGTGTGACCCTGGCCTCCTAATTTTCCTGCACCTCTCATCTTGAGTAAGATAGACTGCTTACTCATTAGTGAACCCTTTGTGTTCAAGGATGGTAAATAATTACTATTGAAGAAATTCTTCAATAGCTATCACAGCTTTAGAAAGCCCAACATTTAGTCATAGAGAAAGTTAGTTAACATCTCCATCCTGCAAAATACTTTCTCTGTGTGTCCACACATACTCTTAACAGTCTCGCAGAAAAAAAAAAATTTATTTTAATCCATCAACCATCTAATTATCTATTGGTCAATATTTAGATTTTATTTTTAATGAGTATTTTACTGAAGTGAATTTAAACAAAAATAAAGGTGATTAAAAATGATTATTTGTTAAGGGAGATGGGGTAGGGGTTGGGAGGAATAGGTGAAAAGGATTAAGAGATACAAACTTCCAGTTACAAAGTAAATGTCATGGAGATGTAATTAGTATACAGCATAAGGAATACAGTCATAATGCTGTACTGTATGGTTACAGAGGGCCACTGGGCTTGTCATGGTGGTCATTTGGTGATGTATTTGATTCTCAGATTATTACGTGTACACCTGAACTAACATACTATTGTACGTCAACCATTTTCTAGTAAAAGTCGCTCAGTCATGTCCGACTCTATACAGTCCATCGATTTCTCCATGCCAGAATGCTGGAGTGGGTAGCCTTTCCCTTCTCTAGGGGATCTTCACAACCCAGGGATCAAACCCAGGTCTCCTGCATTGCAGGCAGATTCTTTACCAGCTGAGCCACGAAGGAAGCCCAAGAAGAATGCAGTGGGTGGCCTATCCCTTCTCCAGTGGATCTTCCCGACCTAGGAATCAAACTGGGGTCTCCTGCATTGCAGGTGGATTCTTTACCAACTGAACCATCAGGGAAGCCCTATATTCAATTCTAAAAAGGCAACAACAATAACAAAAGATTATTTTTTAAACACCATGACAAGCAATGACTTAAACAATGTCCCCACTGTAAAAAAAAAAAAAAATGTATTTACATCAAGGAAAACGTGCCATAATATGGTAAAAGCACAAAAGATACTGGCATTATCATCTCCCTGACTCCAACCCAAGATTTAGAAACATAATAGAGAATTTTCTTCCTTTTTTTATTTGTGATTTTAGCGATAATTTGAAGTTCCATAGATACTTAGATGAAGCATGAAAACGCCAGATGCCAGTCTAGGCTTATGATTTTTCTACCAATTTAAACCAGAAGGCTCCTCTTTTCTCCATGTTTTATTTCATTTCTTTGGTTTAGTCCCTTAACTGTGAATTTAAAGAGAAAAAGGGATAAATATGAAGTTAAAGTTCAACAATATTGTAGACCTGTTTTCTTTCTCCCCTTTAACATATTATTCACCAAGTTTATTAATATAAGAGAAAATGTCATATCACTTAATTTTCTCTGGGGTTTTAGGGGAGC